GGACCTGTCGGGAGCTTCACGGGACAAGACAAAGATGGCAACCACTCGCTGGTTTACGAGTTGGAATCCATCAAATGCAGATGCAACGGATCTCTGGAACCCTGCAGCTGGTTTATCCTGGATCCAACGGGGGAAGTCAGAGTCAACCCGGAGCACACAGTGGATTATGAAGAATGTGACCAGGTGCTAATAGACGCTCAGGTGGTGGACGAGTACACAGAGAAAGGAGAGAACAACAGTGTAACAACAGGTTAGCAGGAGATTGTTGTATGGATAATAAATGCAGTTGAAGCATGAAACCATAAGTGAAATACAGACCAACACACACACATGTCATGCCACTATACTTCCCTTTTCCTTTGAAATATTTTAGGGCAAATGGTGATCAACATTGAAGACATCAACGACAATGCTCCGGAATTCATTTTCTCCGATTCTGTATTTGGTGAGTGAATATTTGAGATTCTATGGCTGTAATTAAAATTAATCTGAGTATCTTTTTGTTTGGCTTTTGACCCCTTAAACTTAACTTTGAGCTTTGCTGCTCAACGAAAAACATTTTTCACCTGTGATTTAGAAAAAAACAATTCTGGGTTATGGTTGTCATTTTGTGTAATGGCAATACAGTTTAATACAGATTTTCCTCCTTTGAATTCTAGTTGTGGTGTCAGAAAGTGCGAGCAAGGGGACATCGGTGGCAGGAGTCACTGTGAGTAATGAAAAATAAATGACTGACATTATTTCTGCTTGTAAATGATATATGTGAGATGACCTGATGTTCTGGCTTGTATCTCTTGCTGCTCTCAGGCTACAGACCGTGACTCTGGAGTAAATAGGCAAATTGACTTTAAAGTAACTGAGGTCCAATTTAGAAACCAGAACAATCAAACAAGTACCATGAGGATTCTGTTCGACGCCGTCACGACACAGCAAAAGGACGTATATGTTGGAATTATTCAGTGAGTACAAAGTCATCGGCATCATAATAAAATATCTCAATGTGCTCTAAATGTTTGTGCATTCTCAAAAGCTTTTGTGCTTACCGCTGCACTCATTTTAGAGTATTACGGCACCTGGACCAGAGCCTCTCTTTGAAGGGACTGTCTATTTAGTTTTAATAAAAAACTACAAACAAGTGCTAAATGATAAGAAAGAGACTAAAATCAACTATAAAGACACTCAAAACAATAAAAGAAAGACATGCAAAGTAAACAAACAAACACACTGCAATGACGACAACAGAGACTAGAACGATGCATACAATGAGAGAGCTGGGCTTAAATTTCTCTGTGCTAGGGGGCCCATTGGGGGCCCGATGTCTCATAATGTCCCGGACTGATTTCCTCCACTTTCCACAGGACAAGCGAGAAGCTGGACACTTCACTGAAAGGGAAGTATTTGGTAAAAGTGAGTGCAACTGACACCGGCGACCTCTCCACCAGCACCGTACTGGAGGTGAGTGACTCGCACCATGCAGCTGGATTTTGAGTCCTGAAAACACCGACTGACAGCCTGAGTTCTTACTCCACTTTTGATCATTTTGCAGATTTTCGCAGTTGATGAATCATTTAGAGTGGAACTTGCATTCACAAAATCCCAAACCGTTATTGAAGCAAACCTCAATGAAATCACCAGGTACTTGCAACACACTGTGTTTCAGTAAAACTGGATTGTAATGTCACTGAATTAAAGGATTTCTCCATGATTTATTTAGTTGACACCTACATGTCTCGTGTGTTTCACCGGGGATTTGCTAATTTCTCTGATCTCTGAATTTATAGAGCGCTTACTGCTGCCACGAAGGCTTCTGTTGAAATTGCTTCCATCCGCTCTGACACTGCTGAAGCATCCAGGCAAGCTCTCATCACCTCTAAACCCAAATCACTGTTCATCAATGAATTATGCAGCCCATGAATACAGATAAAGATGAAGCAACTGGTGCTAACACGGACTCAAGTGCTTACTTGAATACATGTACAGTTGTCCACTGGGTGGTGCCAGTGTTCCTGTAAACAACCACGTTGTTGAAGACAAATCATTTGCTGAGAATTGCAATTGATATTTGCAATGAGATGATTTTGATTTTGAACTTAAAACAGCTGAAATAGTTCATTCAAGATTGTTATTTGAAGTGTATAAGTGAGTTTTTCTCTCAGAGTTTCAGGTAACACTATCATAGTGGCTTATTTTGTCTACGCCAACGGAACTGCTCTCAGCTTTAATGAAGTGGAAAAGATGATCTCTGAACCTCCACACTCGCTTGCACTCATAGAGCTCGGCCTTGCGGACATTGTGAGTATGAGTTCTTCTGAAACGGTCTCTTTTTTGTCATGTTGTTCATTGTTTAATTTTATTAAATCGGCATTACCTGGCCCTTTTGAATTACTGGAGTAGATTTCCATAACTTCCTGTTGTTGCCTAACTTTCCAATCATATCAAGAATCACATACCCATACTGATACTGCTTATTGCAGCAGTGTTATTGCCTATTACTGTACGTGATTTACAATGCAAAGGTCTTCCACGTGTGAAGTCAATTAAAGAAATGCATTTGTAAATCTCTCAATATCAAGCAAAACGTAACATATTGAGCGTCATCATTTCAGGTTTGAACATATAAATAATATCTCCAATTGTAATAATCATTAGAATCATAAACTAAAATGTACATAATAATAAACAGAGGAGTTTATTGCAAAATAGCTAAATGTTGGTGAACTAGCAGTTTTTGTTTCTTTAACGACAGTGTGTGTTTTTCAATATATAAATTAACATTTTCTAATAACCTATATAGTGTCCAAACCTCATAGGTCCACAGCCTCGACTATATTGATTTCTTACGTGTGTTTCAGGGGAAGGCTCCTGTCATCGAACCAGTCACTGACCCTGTGAAGTACATCCTGCTCGGGATGTTGGCCGGTCTCATCATCGTGCTGGTTGTCCTCATCACTTCACTTTTGTGCACTCGCCGAAAGTAAGACAAGGGATTTGGAATACGTTTAGGATTGGAAGGCACAATTGACTGTTTACATGGGTCCTCCCAGTGAAGTTTCTTAAGTAGCATTTATCAACTCACTCATTACTCCTTACACTCACACCATACAGCTACAAGAGGAAGCTGAAGGCCGCTAAAGCCATGAACTCTGCATCCATGGTGACTTCTGACAACCAGAAAAGTGGTCCTGTGGTGCCTGGTACCAACAAGTACACCATGGAGGGGTGAGGAGACGACAGCGTCAACACGACAAACGAATGAACACACGACTTGAAGTATGACACGTGTTTTGTCTTCCCATGTGTGTCCTTCTTAATCAACAGGGCTAATCCTGTTCTCAACCTCCACATCGACGCAGCCATGATCTTGGACATGGACGAGGACAGCTCAGATGTGGACAAAGTCAGGTAAGGAAAAGCCCTCCACCATCTGTTGAGGTGGCGGCTCACAGTGACACACGGCCTCTCACCACCGCACTCTGTAGCCATGCTGGTTGCTAAACTGGGGATGTTTCCATCGGAACATTTTGTCACATGCGTGCTCATGACAACATGTTGTGATGGAGGACTGACTTTCCAATGTCGGTATACAACCTTTTATTTGCATCAGAAATTTTAACACAGATTTGATGGGTGGGGGGAAGTCAACTGTGTGGGCACACCTTTAATTACTTTTTATTTTCCCACAACAGCCTCAACTCCCTCGATTCCAGCGGTTATATGACCAATCCTGATAAAGATAAACCCATGGTGAGTTTGCATTTCAAAGTCCATCTGCGTTTGTAATCATTAGAATACGATCTAACATCAACAACCGACTGCTCCTCATTAGAATATGATCCAGGAGGAGGAGGAGGAGGAGGAGGAGGAGGGCAGCGGGCCACCAGAGTACATTGAACCTCTGGGTGCAGCACTTGCCCAGCGGGGCCAAAAGAAAGGCTCTGACAATCAACACATTGGTTTCAGTAACCCTACATTCAGCACTACAGATCTGTGACGGGTGTAACGAAGGGAGTCTGAGGGACATCATGGTGCTCCTCTGTAATCTCTGTAACAAATTCATAGTGTTGGCAGACTTTGTGTCTTATTTTGTGACCAATTGAAAAGAGTTATTGATGTTATGCACAAGCTCATGGCAACAAGGATGAATTTGCTTTGTCAAAACATTTAAATCAAGGACTAACAATAAGGAAAACAAAAAATGGAGCTGTTATTCTGTGAAAACAATACAATGATGTCACATTATGTATTGATAATGTGAAATTTGGTTAGGTTGTTTAATCAACTGTTTTGGTTTTCGAACAGTTATGGGACTATTGTTTTAGAATTTGGGAAACATGCTCATTCTCCAGGTCTCCTTGCTCTGTTTTAAAACACATCACCCCGGAGGCCCAGCTCGCTGTTTCCAGTCAAGTCGTCTGATTGATGTCACTTCACTTTTAATGCAACTTCACAAGAGTACAAACCATCTTTTGCAAATAAGCATATTTCCCCGAATGTCAAGCTTGTCTTTTAAACGTCCTCTCACATAATCGTAGCTGGACAAAAAAACTTGGACAGAAGCAAAATGAAAGCAAAGAAAAGAATTGTTTGTTGCACATGTAAATCACTTTATTTTTCTTAATATATTAAGCAGTGGCTTAAAGACCGTTGGCTTGCTTTGAGATAAAATGTAATAATACATTATGTCAATTCACAATGTTAACTTTAGTTGCTGCTGATGCTACCAGAAAGACATTCCAAAAAGAGTGAAATATAACTTAACGTAAATTAAAATTTTATGACGGCGTGTCAGCCAAAAGATGTTTAATATGTTGCTTTGAGTTAATTGCTTTGAGTTAGAGATTGTCATGCTGAAATTAAACCTCATGCAATGTGACTTTGTAAATTCCTAAGAGCAGTGGAGAGAAAGGATTATTTGACTGCTTCTTGACATCTAAATGAATGTAATGTAATCAGATTGAATGTAATGCAATCTGAATAAAATCAATTTTGCAAAATTCAGATTTGATCCCACTTTTATGAATTTAATACACCAACGTCACTGACACTGTAACAGCCTCTAAATTAAAGAAATTGAAAAATAATGCATCACATAATTGACAACTGAATCACTAATTATGGCATTACAATACACAGTCACTAATGACTAAAATACCCTCATATCACCTGTTGATTGTGCTTAACGTGTTAATTGAACATTTGTATACTTTCCACAATACAGATAAATAAAAATTGTGCCAAATACAAAAGCAGAATATAACACATACAAAAGCCTGCACTAATGGTAGGAAGTCCTCACACAAACACATCAAAACAACATTAAGCTCCATTTTAACTTCAGTACACAAGCAACAAAATGACGCCCAGGTTGCAATGACTGACCACGAGTTCATGAGTTACAATCCAAAACTGTCACTATCGTCTCTCACACTCGAAGCTGCGTTTAAGCTTGTGAGCACCCAGGAGCAGGGATTGTCATGGCTTCATGTGGCCTGAGGTGCATTTCAGGTGCAAAGCAACAAACAGCTAAAATGACTCAGTGGGCAGTCGAGTGGTCTGATTGAAAAATTTGAAAAATTTAGTGAGGAGAACTGTCTCTCCTTCATTTCAAAAGACGAAAACACGGAACTCCAAGAGAAAAAAAAAATCCCATCTTGTTGGGCCGATACTCAATGCTTCACTTCTGTGCTCCTCCGTCTCGTGTGAGGAGCTGATCTACTCCTCACACATTCAGTAACATTCAAGTAAATCACTGATCACTGTCGCCTACAGGATATCATGTGATATACATATTTTTTATTCCCCTCCAAATGGAGGTAGTTTTCTTGCATCACTCAGCACTGTGAGCTCTGGAGCAACAATGTGGCTGCTGCATGTTCTCCATCAGCTGACGGAAAGGATTTCTTCTGCGTCGGCTCACCTCTCCATCCCGATCGCCCCTTTTTCCTGGGCGGCCCTTAGCCGAACCAGAACCAGAACCAGAACCGCCCTGATTGGGTTCCGGATAGAGGGGCACGGCTGAGGGGTTGAGTGGAGGAGGGGGAGGCATTGAGGGCTTCTGCTTCTTCACCTGCTTCTCCAGGTGTTTCTGGATGGCTGAGCCCAGCACGGCCACTTCCACCACTGCCCCGTACACCTCCCAAGTCATCCCCTTTTCATCCCACCTCACCTCCTGCACCGGCTCCTCCACCTCCTCCTCTTTCTCCCTGCAGTTTATTGCCTCAGTCGAGTCCTCCTCAGCTGCTTCCTCCTCTTTCTTTTCAGTTACTTTCTCCTCCTCTTTGTCCTCCGCCACCTGCTCCTCTGGGTCTTCTTCCTCCTCCGCTATCTTCTCCTCTGTTCTGGCATCCTTCCTGACCTCAGGAAAAGTCATGATGGTGGGCGTTCTCGGGGTCATTGGGGCCGTAGCAACAGAACGAAACTCCACTTGCGGACCCACCTGCAGCTCGGTATCTTTAGTCTCGATATCCACACCTGCGCATCTCCCCAACGAGCTGGGGAAGTAGAAGGCTTGGTCGCCCTCAGGAGGGGTCATGGGGCTGGTAGCTGCAGACTGACACTGCACCACTTCCAGGCTCACCTGCGTGCGGATGTTGTGGCAGCCGAAGGGGGCCGGAGATTCGGGGACACTCGGCTTTGGCACGTCTCCCAACTCAACTCTGTTTTCGTTCATTTTTGAATTCAGGTCATTTTTCGCTTCGGCGCCAGCAGAAACAGAAGATCCTTCCGTTTTGCCGTGTAGAGGCTTTGAGATGGAGGTGTCCGGTGCATTAGGGGCAGCAGTTTCTGTGGAGATGTTCTCGTTTCCATCCCTCCTCTTTGCATCACCGCTGTTCTCCCTTTGTTCCTCATACTCATCTATTTTGACCATCTCTGTCTCAACGGTATGACAATATGACTCCTTCTCTTCCCCTTCCTCTTCGTAGTTGCCATAGTGGGTTACCAGGATTGTAATGTCCTGATCCATGCTTCCCATCCTCTGTTGCTTACCCTGCTGATTACCATCCTCCATTTGTGAAACTGTTAACACAGCAGCATTGGAGCAGCTGCTCAGAGATGCAGTTGAGCTGAAGCACTCGCTGTGCTCCTTTGATGTGGCACATTTCAAAGTTCCAGTTATCTCTGACTTAGTCTCCTCTTGACTTTTTGTCTTCACTTGGTGGCCACACTCCCTTTGCACCTCGCTCTTTTTCGCCCCATCCTGCTTCTGCGCCCTCTCTCTCCCGACGAGCTCTGGGAAAGCTGTGGCCGAAGGCGTCTTTGGGGTCATGGGAGATGTGGCCACGGAACAGAACTCCACCTGCCGACCCACCTGTAGCTCTGCGTCTTTAGTGTCGGCTCCCGCAGCCGCGGACTTCCCGAAGGAGCTTGGGAAGAAGAAGGATTGTGCCCCCTCGGGAGGCGTCATGGGGCTGGTGGCCGCAGAGCGACACTGGACCACCTCCAGGCTGACCTGTGTGCGCATGTGGTGTTGGCCGGAAGGAGCTGGGGAAAGTGGGTCTGAGGGCCCCGGCGTCGCTGGCACAGGCACCAATACATTTTCAACGTCTCCCCCTTTTTTTCTGTCTTGACCTGCGCTTTTATTCATTGTCGCTTCCGCCAGAGCTTCTCCGTCTCCGTCATCCAGGAACTCAACAGAGGCTGTGGTGCCGTCGTGTGCTGCCGTTGTTTCATCATCTTCGGGCTGCCGGGTCTGATGGATGGCTTCCGTCTGCGCAGAGTCTTTACCACAACACCCTCCTGGAAGTGCTTGCTCTTTGGGTTTCCCATTCTGCTCTCTCTCCTGAGCGTTATTGGCATTCATGTGGAGTTTTGGCTGAGGAGCTGTTGACTCTTGATTTGTGTTTATCGGCGGTCCATCAGGCTCAGCGGTGCCATGTGAGCCTTCTGGAGGCTCTCCATCATCTGTCTTATCACACGGCTTGTCGTCCTCTCTTACACCTCTCATCTCATCCTTCAGACTTCCCATCTTGCTTCTGCATTAAAGTTGTCAAAGTACCTGCAGGGCCACAGACACAGCACTGAAACACAGCGCAAATTGTAACCAGTAACTATAAAAAACAAGAGTGAAGCATCAAATGTTATAAAAAAAATTCTGATATAGCATATGAGGAATGCAAATGCTCACATGTAACCAAGTGACATCATGCTACTATTTGATAGAAATGATTCACATGCCGGCATTGTATTATAGGACTGTAATATCTGGGATATTCACTAGTAAACACCTGATTGACTGCATTTTAAATAAAATTATTTTCTTTTTTAAATGTTACTGTTAGATTGTATTTCCTATTGCTCCTTCCTACACCTAACGTAACGTATCCGCACAGTTCATGTTCAAGTGCTGTTTGGATGCATTATCCAAAAAAAGCCCAAAGCACTTGTCAAATTTAAACCACGAAAATAAACAATGAGGATAACACGGATCACGGGTAACAGACGTACCTCAGCAGTCCAAGTCAGAATGAAGTCTCTCCATTACCCGCACTCACATTTGGGATCAAACGTTGCAAATTCTCTCCGTTGATCGAGAGCCACGTCGGTCGGTAAATCTCCCTTGTTGATAGTGATAGCAGTGGCTACAGGTTTGTCTCTAGAAGAATCTGTGTTCGGCAATCCTCTCTCTTTAAGCTGTGGCTGTCTCTATTGAAAAGACTCACATTTTCCAGTTTCCCTGGAAACCACAATCGGGTTCTGGCAGCGAGTGGTAATGTAATGACAAAATCTCTTTTCAGCTCTCTAATCATCAGTAAATCATAGTAATTAGTCACAGGTTTTCATAAAAACACAAGGGCAAACTTTGGGCAGAGAGATGAACCTGTAAATTAGTCAACCTGCTTTTTGGAAGGCGAAAATTGGAGATGAAAGGTGCCGTGGTACTACAGATGATTAGTGTGAGGACTTCTGGTGGGAGGGTGAAGTATGTAAAAGAGAAGAGCGTGCTCCTCTTAATTGTGGATTGTTCCTTTAGGTAAGACAGCAATCTGTGTGACTAAAGGGTTCATTTGTTTGACCACTCTCATTGTTAAGAATGCACAATCGTAATAAAAAATAGGCTGAAAAGATCAAAAGAACATTTCCTACAAACCAAAACCAATTGACATTTGTGGAGGCAGACAGGCTTAATAGAGGACCTGAGAGCAATTCAAACTCTGGTCTTTTTTGCAGAGAATTCTCTGACATATTAGAAAATGTGAGCGTTGTGCTGCAGCAGTGAAAGCACATGAAAGACAGCGGGGGAGATCAGCCGAAGGAGCTCGGGGGAAGGAGAGCTGCCCTCCCACACAAACACTCTTTGTAAACCCAGCGTCTTTCCTTCTCATTCGTCTCACCGACCTCTCCACTTTCTTACATTTAGTTCTCCGAAGCATCGATCATTTTCTTTGCCTTGAGTAACAGTTTGGAGCTGGGGATGTATATGTTTCCCTTTTTTTTATAAATCTTCCCTTTTTTTCCCCAGAACACTATGTACTGACAGAAGAAGTCTCGCTACTAACTCAAAGGTCTCCACCAATCACTTGCCGCCACAGATTGCTGTTGCCTAGCAACCGCGTAGTGTGATGCAGGGAGGTGCGGTGCTGAGCACCAAGGTAGACGGCGCTGATCATATTCTCATCAGGAGCCATCAGCCTACCAAAGGCCACCTTTTCAGCATCGCGTTGGTAATAATAAACACGGGGATTTGTTAGCGAGCAAAAAAACCGATGCAGCACTATCAGTGTCACCTCCACCGTGTGCAGCAGGGTATCACGCTTTAAAAACCTGACAAACATGCTGGTATCGTTTTTTATTTTCCAAAATAGTCACGTTTAATGAAAGTGATAGTAAAGCAAGAAATACAAATGGGAAAATGTGAGAAAAAAATAAGAGATAAATTCAGGAATGTTCACTTGTCTAAAATGGACATAATATCCATTTTTTTCAGGGATCATTTGCTCTCAAATTTCTGTCCAAACTCTTTGATGGTGTCTGTGGCTTTGTCCGCAGCATTTCCTATAGCGGCCTGAGTCTGTCGGCCAGCCTCTTGCGTAGCTTCAAAGATTCACATCGTAGCAGAGGAGAAATATTCAGTTAAGCAACAAAACCTCAGTCTTAGGCTGAAGACATTGTTGAGCACAATTTGACTTTGGTTATCATCTTTCATTTAAACTCTTATATATTTATGTTTGCGTATATATCAAAAGCTTGTATTAAATAAATTGTCTTAATCGCTCTGTTCCTGTAATAGTTCATTTGTAATATCAACACGGTGTCTTCAAATAATAAGTCATTTCAGGATTCGGCTTCCACCAACAATCGAACATTTGATGTGACAATTTCAGCATCTTTAGTAAAATACCCACAGACAGAGCAGTGTGAATTACCTATGTTTGCTGTTTCTTTGGAGGACTCTGCCACCTGCTGCACAGCTTCTTGAGCTGCCTGCACTGGAAAAACACCACATGACAGAAACAAACTGTGACTGACTGGCTTTTGAATTCTTAAACTTTGTTAAATAAACCCAAGTTTGACAATCTCAGTTGTTTACACGTGAAAAACTACTTTAGACGTTTGTGAATAGACTGCTTTACCTATCGAGTTGTTCTTTGTCAATCAAGAAAGACAAACCATTGAGGCAATAAAAGCCTTTGCCAGGCCGAGTGCCGCGTCAAAGCTGGAGCTCTACCTGCAGTGTCCGTGACTCCCTTCGCGGCCGAGTGGCTCGTGCCTTTCAGGCTCTCGAAGGACTTCTTGAAAGAGGCCATGGCTCCTGTCTTCGTCCCCGCAGCGTCCACACTTGACACGACGGTCGCACGAGAGGCTGTTTATACCCTCTGTTTGAGGCAGACACCACCGAGCACGCACGTTCCAGGCGGATTAACCCAAACAAAGCCCGGCCAAAGAGCCCCTGATCCGACTGGCATCCCGACTATGGCAGCGGACTCTGCCAAGGGCCAGAAGCCCGCTCAGCAGAATTTACACATCCTGTAATCAAACCCCCACATAATTCCCCCAGACAAGCGTGAGCAGAAAAGGGAAACATGTGAGGGGGGATATTAAATAGATAGACCGCCGAGAAGAAAAAAACATTGGTTAAAAGAGGTTTAGGATTGAGTGTTGAATGCCAAAAGTGATTTTAAACATTATCAAACAACACTATCGAAGGGTTTCTGTTTTTAATCTTTATTTACAGAGGAATGTATGTCTGGCTTAACACATAAACCTTTATATTGACAAGTCCTGCAATTGAAAGCACGTATTGATATGACAACCATTATGATTTCAAGACATTATATTGACTTTAACTCGTTAAAATCTTCAGTACACACAAACACACGCACACACAAATATGTATACTCTGTCAATGTCAGAGATTACAGATTTACTGGAATGATTTCACAAGCAAATATAAAGATACAATGTAAAAAACTCTCACTTCAAAAAAGTTCAAAGAAATGCAAAACAAAAAAGAAAGAACCCACAAACAGGCTTTGTCGACACATAGGAGGGTATTATTGTTTTCATATCTGCTTGCAACCGGACATATTTATTTTTTCCGCTCCCAATGTCTCATTGGAAGATGACAAACATCTATTGCACATTTCAAAATACAGGTACACACAAGTACAAAGTCACCGGCCCTGGCTCTGGTCTCATTTCATTGGGAGGGAGTCAAGGAAATGAGACAGAGAGGACCAATCCTACGGCTCAATAATTACCTACAACACATTACATTAATAACATGACATTTACAATATATAATAATAAAAGATTTGTCTTGAAGGAAGAACATTTTTAAGTGGGAATGCTTGTCTTTTAGTGTTGATTTTTTTGCAACGGGAGTATAATAGTGATTCATTTCAGCATTTGTCCTTTTTATTATTAGAAATATTACTGTGCTGCTGGTTTGTTGGTAGCTTCGGCTGGTGCTTTTACGCTTCTGGCTCGTAATCCTGGGAAAAGAATAAGAGATTTTTAAGACACAGGCGGGTCAAATCTGAAGCAGAGAAGCTCCACTGTTAAATTAAACAATAAGACCTCGATTAAGAGTTGAAAAGGACACAAATCGGAATATATATATATATATCTATATCTCTCTCTCTCAAAAGGGTGATTGTATCTTGTGATTGCAGTCTGCTATAGGTAATGAAGTCAATCTATCACTATCACTCAATCTATCACTGTCTATTAACAGCTCTAAGCTCCTCTACTCTCTCTCTCTCATCCTCTCTCTCTCTCTCTTACTCTCTGTCTCTCTCTCTTCTCCCTGCAGAGGGCAGCAAAAGCCTACACAAGCTTCAAGGATGAGTCGTGAGCCCATTGCCAGCATCCTTTTAACCCTTCACATGCCTCCTTCACACACATGGTCATAAAAAAAACAAGACACCCTCAGGGAATATGAAATAGTCTTCAGATATCTAATGTGTTCCAGAAACCAAAAGTGATACTGAGACGGATTCTAATGGCAAATGGCAAAAGAGGGCTTGGTTCACTCGGGCTCCATATTCACAGCACTGCAGGGAGACCCTGACATTACCCACAATGCATAGCGGCAGAGAGCGTCATCACCACACCCATTGAGAGAGAGCTCACATATTGCTGGTGTAGCAAACGATGGGGGAGGGGAAGCAATGCGGAGGAGAGAAGCAGGAGAGGGAGATGGAGGAGGACATGGATGATACAAGCTACTGCCTTTGAGAAATACATTTTTCATTTTTATTTCAGGGGATATCTCGGTTTTATACCTTAACCGATCATGGTAATAATCCACAAACGAAAAAGAAAAGAGAATACAACTAAATACATTGAATAAATTGAACATCATTGGCAAAATGAAATCCTCCTCCAAATGAAGCTTAATTGTTAATATTAATATATTGTTGTTTCTGCTAAAGACATAGCATGCAGAGATTGAAATCCTTTAATATCCCAGTGGTTATCTTTCCCACATGGCGCACTGTACATTGTGTGGTATCTTGATTGACTCTTAGCTAAATTCTTTCTTCAAAGCAATATGTTCTGCAGAGTTTATCTCGCCTCTGACAGGCAAATTCCAAAAATAACCACCGGTGTCACACACCTATCCTTTCTCCACACACACACACACACACACACACGCACACACACACACATGCACACCGACACACTCCCAATGCTTAATGTAGGCAGGTGGTGCTACATGCGCTGTATTCACTATAACAATCTTACTTCAACACAAGGACACACATTCGTTATTGTGAGGCAGAAGACACATGTATGCACTTTGTGACGTGTAGGCTGATTACCTGCTGGGACTCATCATATGTCTCCCCTTCTGCCTGAAGCATTGCATCTCCCTGGCCCTCCATGGCCTCCTGCCCGTACTCCTCAGGCTGCAGAGACAGAAAGACAGAGAAAATGAGGATGGAAAAGATCTACACAGTAACCACAGCAACTAAAGTTACTGCGTTGGTATTAAATCAATATTACATTTGAGTCACAGAACGGAGCACCAGGTTTACCAGAGATACATACAAGTAGATGCACGGGAAGCTGAATTAACAAACTCTTTGAGCTGGATATCATCGCCAGACCCTCAAAGAAACCCGCCGGAGTACGCAAGTATTTCATGGGTACATTGGAGCTGGTGTACGGTAGATAGGAAAATCCTGGCCAGTGCAGCTGTTTCCCTGATGCTAGCAGCTAGCATGTGTGCGTATCTAGCAAGAAAGTTGCTAGTTTTAGTTTAGACCAATTTCTTGCTCTTGATTTAAGATTAACTTGAGTTGTCTGTGTTGATTACAACAAAGGAACATGTCACCGAATGCAATGATGTGGCTGAATGAGATACTCATTATTTGTGTACAACAATGGAAGCAAGGAGGAGAAAGAAATTTGATAACAAGAAAAGAATGTTAGCATGGGTGATTAATTGTTGGTTTTCATTTACAGTATCAAAAACAGAAAATACCAGCAGTCTTATCTTTTTATAAAGTGACACTGACATTGATTGATTTCTTGACACTGTAAAACTCTCCTTCGGTTCGCTTTCTGCAGCGCTCCATCTTTGAAGCACACCCTACCTTGAGGCCTTAAAACAAAGCTAGTGGGTCAACACACATTTATTTTTAAACCCAGCACTAATCAAGTCAATTAGGTCGGAGAAGAACAGGCCATAATCCTATGTACCTTATCCTGTTATTGCTGTAAGCCCACCGACATGAATAGCGAGGCCTTAAATGCTGCAGAATGGAGAACCACAATAAAGACAAACCTAATCAGACGCATCACTGACGGAGAGAAGTGCAAAATATAGTCACACAGAGGATATACAGGCAATAGGGACAGTTTAAAAATCTGTTTTCAGGGTGTTGTGTGCTGAATGATGGTTTTTATCAGTCAGCGAGTGCCCCTGAGAAGCCTATTAGAGCAGGCTGTCAGATTTACTAGATTAGTGAGTCCAGCTCTGAGGGATGAAGGCTTTGGACAGCACGAGGACCTCACCCACAGTCTGACAGTGAAATGCGAAATTCTTATAGCGCACGACCAGGAGGTTTAACAAGCAAAAAAAACAATCAATAGAATGTGTATTACTTGAGAATCATGTTGTCGAGCGCATGGTAATGATAGAGACAAATGTTTTAAACAAGTCAAATATTTTTTTAGGAAAAAACAAAAAATAGTTTGTTGTGTTTCGCACAATGAACTAATGAAAAGGTCGCAGACCAGTAAGGCATCGATGTTTAAGTGACACGCAAATTTATCATCCCGTCACAGTGTTTATCCCTGCTGAAATCTGGCACCGCTACAACCGCAATCCCATCCACACTTTAATGAACACAACTTACGGCAAGTTGTCAACTCTATGTGACTTTTGTATCCGGAACTGGATTCAAGTCGATTGAACACGGGTTTTGCTGTTTTACAGAGTTTTAAACTATTGGAAATGTGATATCTTTAACAAGCATGTTTTTATTCTATAAAGAGGTATGAAAAAGCAAAACGGACCTTACAAACATACATAACCAGTCTGATGTTTCACAATTGAGGCGTACTGATTTCCCGTGGGTGTGCGTGAACACTGCCATGCCTCGTCATACAAAAGCGACGCACTAAATAAACTGGAACAGGGTGTTACACCTCACTGCGTGTGTGCTACCAGGGAGCTGATGGCGTAACCGGGTACATACATTCATGTCAGCAGGGAATTCGTCCTTCTTCCCCAGGCCCGTGGCAGCAACAATGTTCCCGACGGCTCCATGGGTCTTCTCAGCCACTGCAGAGAGCCGATAACATCATGAACACACACACAAACACACACACACACACACACACATACACACAAACACATGACCGTGATCTAAACAGATTCAGCAGACAGATTAAAGCACATCATGTCCGGCCCCTTTTGTTTTACAATTGACTATCGTACATAATGACCCCATTACCGTAATTAAATTGCTGTTTCTCAGTCAGGAGTAAGTGGCTGGTCACAGTAATGAAACTTTGTCACTAGTGAAGTGAAAACTCACCTGAGCCCACGCCGTCTTTGGCCTTGTTACCTGAATTAACAAAAAAAAAAAGTTTACTTTTGACATTTGACATTTGACCTTTCAGAATATTTTTCTTTTGTGTTTGTAGAACTCTAAACTCTCCCGAAACTACCTACTAAATCACTAGTGCCATTCACTCACAGTTATAGGCTGGATTGTGATTTCTTGCATCATTTCTGCAATACCTCCATCTTTCACCACCTTGATCTACCATGAATCATGACACACTAATGATAAGCCCGACATAATAAACAAGCAGTATTACATTCAAAGACAGCACTGCTGTGAAAGGTAACTAGCGTCCTTCTCTTTGATCTGTCAAATCATTTTCCCTCAACCGATGCAATATCAGTCAGTTTTTTATTTACTCTCTCTAAAAGAAATAATAGAGCAATCATTGCTGCCTGGTACTTTTATAGTGAGTGAGTTATTCAACTCCGACTTACAGCAAAAACCACCAATCAATTCTCTGACCATCGGCAGAACTCATCCATCTACTCGTACTCCATCAAGCTGTTGGGCAATCAAACGGTTCCCACTGGTTGTGATCACTCAAGCATTGCCCTCCTCTCTACAGTGCAGTAGTCACATGCCTTGTTGCTCCATGAGGGCCTTTAAAAAGCCCACCGAGGAGACATGAAATGAAGTACAGAACAACGGAAGCCGAGTCTCAAAGCAAAACATAGAGCTAAGATGTGGCTTTAAGAATCTGCTCTGCTGCAGTGCAGCTACCACGCCACATATTCCATAATAAAGATAGAAATAAAATACATTTCAAGCTCATTAAGGAAAATGAAATTCAAATAAAAAAGTATGTATAGAGCTGATTATCCATTAGCATCAAATCAATGAATTAATAATTGTTTGCAGTAGCTACGGTTCAGCAAATGGTAGTATGAGATATACTGAGACTGTCGTGGTAGGGTGCATGCTGTTAATGCTCTACGAAAGTATTCTACAGTTGTCACATTAAACGGGATCTAGTACAGCAGGTTTTTCCTCATTTCCGCCTCCCCTTGCCTTACTCGCGCTGTCTGCACGCAGCTCAGCTGGGTGGGCGGTCTGCAGCAGCTGTCAAAAGTGGGCCTTAGGCCTATCAGATTACTCTTACCCCTCCTCCAAGAAGGCGCCTTCAAGCGAATCATATGCAGCTTTCTAGGGCACCGTTCTGCTCAACAAGCAGCATGCAGGAGCACAGCGATGCCACATGAGATGGACATGCTCCTATCCCTCTCTGTCCACCATCGGCAAAACGCCCGATGAGACGCAGCATGGAGAAGGCGTAACATGAGCATGCATGTGTTCTTACTGCAGATTGACATGTTTGCTTCTGCCGATGCATGACAGGTACACGGTAATACATATGAACAGGTGCTATCTAAATGCACACGCCACAGACAACTTGTCTTGCAACACAAAAATGTCACTGAATCAATGGAGAGAGCCGGTGACTGTGGAGCAAACAGCAGGTGTGTCACTGGGTTTGTCGGTGTAGACATACAGCTTGGGACATATATGTTTCACGTTAAATATAATAAAACAAGTGATGATCACCATTCTTAATTATGTGGTGAATGACTAGAATGTTACACAAAGAAAAGTCAATAGTGATCTACTTCCAGCCCTTTTAATCATGAGGATGTTCTGCTTTACTTGATCTCATGTGACTGTAGTTAGTCTCGAGGCTTCGGACTGTGAGTTGGATACAACAAGAAATCTCATGTAATTTTGATGAACACCCTTTTCTCACATTTTATAGACCAAATGATTTATTAAAAAATGAAGAAAATACTACTGAGATTAACGGCTAATGACAATTATAGTTAGTTATAGATATTAAAAGAAATATATACAACTCAAACTTGGTTCTCAAAGATTTGGTTGCTATCATTTTTGGGAATATTTGAATCAATTGAGCTTGGTATTCATAATTTACACAATATAACTGGTTAGCAGTGCCTATCGTGATATTAAAATTCAATTTCTTAATAATTATATGACACCAATCAAGAATTGGCCTAGATAGATGACCAGCAACAGAGATTTAAGCGGTGAATTATGCATCGCACCACCCAGCCTGATCTCCAAAACCTGTTCGTAAAAATGTATACGAAAATCTTGAAGATACAAATTCGTAGTGATACATACTAAATAAATACGGACTGGCAACTGATGACGTCACCCTATTCAAAGTGAATGGGGATCTGCACCCCGTAAACACACTTCGTGAAGTCTAACGATGTAAAATAAACGTGTTATGATTGCATTTTTAATGAGAAATCAATGTTAACTTGTAAGAATACAATACTAACCCTAACCCCCTCAAAAAATCCAACATGGCGGAGAGATGTTCACTCAAGGGGCGTGGTTAACCACGGCCAGTTAGTATGTATTGTTACGAATTTCTATGTCAAATATTTCGTATACATTTTTACGAACAGGTTTTGGAGATCACGTTGCACAACCATCATCACAAGTAAATCGTGAAGCTGAAACGTGACGACTGGGAAACTGTTTCATTACGAACACAAGACGAGACAAAGCTTTTGAGACAATCATTTGTCTGTTTCTAGTGTTCGCTGGCTCAGCACCTTGCTCTACTTTCTTTCAGGTATCCATCCTCCTTCATGTAACATGTCTTCCATTGAATAAAGTGGAAGCAAAATGGATTCAGCCAACAATCTACGGCACACATTCGGGCATCTCTTGTCTTGTCTTGTCTCTTGTCATCTCTTGTCTCTTGTCTGTTACTTGTTTGTTAGTGCACTTTATGCTTAATACTTTTCTTTTTAACTTTTTAATATTTAAAATTTGTTTAACTTTATTCCCTTGTTTTTTTACTAACCCATAGCCTTAGCCTTATTCTTACTAACCCATTGCATTAGCATTTCATTCCACTTTATTTTATTACCTGTGCACTGTTGTCTTGTCTGTCTACTGTCTGTCTACTGTCGCGCACTAACCGCCAAGACAAATTCCTTGTATGTTTGACATATTTTGGCCAATAAATGTTTCCTGATTCCTGATTCCTGATCTGTGAACTCAGGCAACAGTAGCAGTGATTTCCGCGAACTGGGACTGCTTTACAATGTGCTGCCCCCACCAACCTGCGCCCCCCAACCCTATTCCCATCTTCTGCTTGTAGCCCAGTCAAGTCAGGTGCAAGGAGATTGAGAGCCTTGTATTACATCGCACATGTCAAAATACTGTAGCTCCAAGTGCATCCTTTTTAAAATCACTCGTTAATACGGGATGGTTTGACACTACATACGGTTACATGATTATTTAATGCATTTTATCAGCCACCATAAATAAAGATATTAGATTTAGTTCATCTGATTAGTTATTTTATATTGTACACTTTTAACTCAGTCATTTAGATTCCATCCCACATTGAGTCTGATAAATAGGAAGTTAAGCATGAAGGGGTAATATTGTCACAGTATCATGGTAGTGGTGCACAGAGAGGTTAGAGAATCAGCAATACACACTGCCAGCTGGTTGCTTGCATGTTTGAGGGAAGCTGACTTATGCTATTTACTGTGCAAGTGACGGGTTTTTGAATAATTGAACCATTTGCTGCAGGAGTATTCTCTCTCCTGATCCGTCGCAGCCCATTACATTCTATATCATTGGCAGTCTCAATGTGCCAGTGGTTGCATGTCAAATAATCTGAAAACTGTGCGATCATCTTACCTACAAACATAACTCCTTCTTTAGTCTTTTCAGCTGCAACCGCGACTCCCTCCTTGGTCTTCTCTGCTGCCACAGCCATCCCCTCTTTGGCTTTAGACAAACCCTTCATAAACACATCCATCTTGGCCGAGTAACTGTAGAGATAAGGACCATACCCGCCGTTAGTCACAATCACTGCTGGCACGCTTTACACATCTCTTTTATATGCATGTGTGACATTCAATAGCTCATAATAATAACAATTTAATTTATATCTCTATGAATACGAGTCCATTATACGACCACAATTTACAGTAAAAGAAGGCAGCACCGCCTCCTTCGGTAGATCCTGACTGAGTAAAAAACCACTCTGTTCACTCATGCATCCCCCCCATTGCACATCCTCGTCAAAGCATGAAATATTCAAAGGCTAAAAGATTTCAATGAAATGGTTGACAATGGAGGCGCTCATTAATTATTGCTCTCAGTGGCAGAGAGAAGCTCGGCTGAGGAAAACAACAGCCTGGCCCTTTTAGTTAAGGGACTGTACTTCAAACTGTAACTCACTGCAAGCAAATGCATTGCAGGGCCTACAACACGTTTCTGGGGGAAGGGAGGCACGACCTACTCGTGCACATCCTCACACGCTACACGTACGACTTGTGTGCGTGTGAATGGAATCTGAGCTTGTGCGATCACAAGCAGGGAAGCTTTTAAATAAAACACCTCGGTTTGTGTCATTGCATTTGACGCCCAAACCAAATGGGTCACCGCCTGGATGCTGCAGGTCAAAGCTTTAATTAGCACATGCAAATATTACATACAGCGTCGACCGATTTGTTACGTCTGCATCCGTGCCCGGCGGAATTGTCATCGTTACGTTATTTTCGCCGCTCAAATTGATACGGATATTGCACAAAAAGGCGGGTTGTTAAATATATAACGCGATGTTGGATAATTAGGAGCTTATTTTTTTAGAGCACGGTAAAACACAGTTTAAAAAACGACGTTCACATGCAAAGTCCTCCGATGGTGGTGACCTCTAAACGTGTACAAACTGTAACAATAACGTAAGAATGCATGAAAAGAGAAAGAGTCGTTACCTTTTTTTTTTTACGAATAGACGTCGACTTGTCCCCTTATGATTCCGTCGCACCGCCGAGTCACACTATCGTCTGAATGGGAGATATTTTCAAGTGATCACTAGGTGGGCCTTCCGCGGGCTGATCTCCACCAACAGGGACGGCCCCTTTCAGAGTGCGCCCCCCCCCCCCACACCTTACACCCCCTCTCTCCACAATGGTTCCCTCCACTACTGATCACGAGATCTGAACTTGTACAGCCATGACGAGGACTTTAACGGAACTACACCGTGTCACCGTGTCCCCGTGTCCCTTTTCCACGTCTGCTATTGTCCAGAAGTAGATCATAACACAATAGATTGTTTTTATTTAGACTACTTGACCTACATTGATTTGTTTCTTGCGCGCCCGCCCCATATTGCTCTACGACTGCCACCATATGTTTTGCCTTTCATTAACAAATGCAACCCCCATCCTATATACGTGTAGTGTCATATATATTTTTCTGCGTCCTTATCTTTAACTGCTTTAATTAACAGTTATTGATTGTCGTTGGGTGGAAAACGTTGAAAATGCATTATCCCAGTTCTGTGTGCAATTGAACGCATAGGACGGGAGGGTGATCGGAAGGGTGATACCATTGTGACTAAGAAATGGGGCAGGGGTGTGTATGTTTGTATATATATATATATATATATATATATATATATATATATATATATATATATATTCCTGTGCAAGTTGATCTGTCATTCATATTTTTGTAATTTAGTCTGTTATTTATTTTTTAATAGCAATGAAAAAGATGTATTGTCGTTGATACCAGAAGGGGGTGTTTGCTTTGTAGCCTACTTTTTCCACACCGAGTTACGCATTACGTCATCAGCGGACTCCTCTCTGACAACGAGAGCAGAGGATGACCCAAGTACATCGAGACGTCCACCATCCTATGAGGCGTTCTAGTGGAGGAAACTAAAACCAGAGAACACTAATAATCATTGGATTGTGTTGCTGTACTCTACGTTTTAATGGAGCTGATTTGCAGCTTCGAGGAGCCACAGTGCGCCTTCCTTCATCACTCCCTGTCTGACGTAGATACAGTGACGCGGGAGTAGTGGGCGAGTATTTACAAAATCCCCCTTCAATTTGAGGAAACTCCAGATAACTGACTTCCTTCTGAAAACGTCCTATCTTGTTTCATCGGTGGCCATTAGGTGCCGTGTCCTGCGAGGATGTAAAATACCCCCCAAAATATAAAATCTACCTTACATGTATTAATTTTATTGTGAGATCATACTTAGACTTTTAAGACGTGCTTTCACATGGTTATGTGCATTTTCATCCTACCAGTCATTCCATTCCATTGTATGGGATTTGTGAGTATAAAGCTCCATCTTCCACTGAGCCCCATCGGGTGCTGTCCAGGGTCCTGAGATGGAGTCTGTCTCTATCCGTAGTGCTGAACTGCTCGAGCCATAATCACACATCCCCTGTGAGGCAGGATGAAAGTCACACCGGCTTATCGATGTGTTCCATCCAGAAAGGTAACATGCAGATGACCCTTACATGAAAAACACCAAATACTATATAGAGGGTGCCGGAAGATTTAAAGAGGAAAACATACTTTAATGTCCGGTGCAGTAGCCAACACTTCTAACCGTCTGTCCAGATGGCAGCAGGGTGAACAGGTTGTTCCTCTTCAGTATCGTCGATATCCCTGATTCTGCGTTGATGAGTAGCAATGGTGGTCTGAGTGGGTTTAATCACTCGTGTAGAATCCTCCTGCCCCGTGGTCATCTCAAGCCAATTTCACCTGTTTCCAGCCAAGAGGCTTTCTTTCACAGCGCTGTCCTACTAAAAAAATGACACAGTACCTGTATGCTCCCAAACTAGAAAATCCATTTCCCATGTGTTAGTTTTGCAGCAACAAAAAATACAGTTTGAAAATGTCTTTTCTAATGGCGTTGTGGGTTTGTAGAATAACACAGAATTAACCGTAACATACAATGAGTGATTTGAGCGCGACCGTTGATCTTTGAGCTGGAAGAAAGTAAAAAGTGCCGTCCTATGAAGTCTGGGTCCTGAGCTGCGGTGTGTCTCTGTACATAATGCTGAATTACTTAAGCCAAAATGACACATCCTTGCAGAACAGGATGCAAGTCACATAATGTTGTTGATGTCCTCCATCAAAACTCTTTAAGAAACTTTGCATGCAGCTAACCCAGATGTCTTTTACAGCTGCTTTCAACGCTGAGGTGCAGGAGAACAGTTCTGCATCTTGGTTTCCTCACTGTGTGAACTTGTTGGCTGCGTCTGCCCTCTGGTGGTCTTTTGTGAGAATGGCACGCCAAATATTTTTTCCGTCTTTTATGAAAGATATTTAAAGCAGCCATAACAAAATCATCTCATTAGAGACAACAACTAAATTAATGTAAAATAACCCAATACAGGAAGAGTTTCCGGACAAAATTATTTGGGGGAATTTTTGTCCATGGATTTGAGTGAAGAGCAAATTAAGTGTATAACCAAAAATATATTTTTTTATGGTGGAAATGTATCTTTTGCTCTTCAAATACATTACGAATACAAGAATTTACAACATTAAACTGATTTAGCTATTTTGGTCATATTACACATATTAAAAAAGGTATTATCGATAAATCTTATATAGATGACTCTTTTAGTTTCCAGGATGGAAACTATATTTAACTAGATAAGAGACTCCACGCTTTCTTCTTCAGAGTCAACAGCTTTTGGTGGTTTTGCCATTTTTTTTACTTGCCATTGACACAAACCTATACCTCGATTTATGTGTGTAGAGTTCAGGAAAAGTTCATTGAAAATGTACTATAAAAGGCTCTCCTATAAGTCCGGAACATCGCTAAGGTAGTTCAAGTATTCCAACGTTTCAACATGTTGAAATGATGAAACTGTCTCTGGTTTTAGATCTTATTTAGAAACTAAAAAATAGTCTTGGCTGTATAGATTTCTAGCTAGCTACTACGGCACCATATATGCCTTAGTGTGGGATAATTAGACAGCTTGAATTTCTTATTGATGATTAATCCACTCGTAAAGAGAGAGAACTGTGCAGGGGGAAGACGTACCCTGACATGCTCCCCTTGACGCAGACCCTACATGGTTCATCCAGAGAACTAACCACTCATTGAGGTTGAGATCAATGAGCATTTTCAGGAGAAATGTATTTTCATTGGGCTAAAATACAAGGCGAAAACTCCTGGCATATCCTGAAAGATCCATAATCTGTTCAGTAGCCTCAAGCGGAGTCTGCAGAGCGTTGATTCTGCCTCTTATATGTGGATCCACTATAGTGGCCTTAGTGATGATCAAGTGGCTGACCAGAACCTGTTTGAGTTCACTTCTGTGCTCATTTGAATCTTTTTCAATTCATAGACATTTCAATGCACAATTATCTTGACCAATGAAGAAAAATCCCACGTTTTTAAAACTTTCCAAAAGTTTTATTTCTTAATTTTTTGTTTTAATAAAGATAATGTTGGTTCAGAGGGTAAACACATATCTAAACAAATGAATCCCACAGTGTCACTGACTGAGTTAAGCAACAAATCCCGTTTTTATTTGTCTTTTATTTTCACATAAGTATGTTTCAAACGTTGTAAACAAAACCATGACTCTAATAAAGTCCAAAAAGGGCTTTACTTTAGCTGATGTGGTTGCTTGATGGAAAAATTATCCGAGAACAACAATTTTCCCAATTTTATTTTAGATACTATATATAAATAGTTTGGCATCATTAGCACCTTTTCAGCACACAACATCAATCAGTGAACTTAAAAGAAAACAACTTTTACTGAGAACATCTGAACTCAAAATCACAAAAATTTGAATAAGTCACCTTCTCAACTTCACTTCTTTTTTTGCTGAACACTCAGTGGTGCACATTAGATGACTATGGCTGTACAGGTTAATGACAGCATATGTGACGTAAACTGCGCCAGCTCCAAAGAATGAGCGGCAGATCCAAGAATAAAGGTGATTCACTATGCGTTATGTTCCATGGAATAAAATGAAATGTTCCCTGTGTGCTAGTTCCAAAATTGCTGGCACAGTCAGATTCCTCAGCCTCAGTCGGCGGTGGTCCCTTCAGCCCCCCGGTGAACCTGCCTTTATCTATCATGGCGTCTTTCCACCCCGAGCTCCAGCACAATGCTTTTCCTTTTACAGATCCACTGAGTGGAGTCGGCCAGTCACAGCCAGCATTATGTAATTCCAATCAATCTGAGTTATAAAGTCTTGACACAGGTCAGGCTGAAATTTACAGCTGTTTAGATTGCAAGTCGTTTTCCTGTGGCATGTGCACACACACACACACACACACACACACACACACACACACACACACACACACACACACACACACACACACACACACACACACACACACACACACACACACACACACTGCATCTGCCTTCTGGAGCTGAGTGAAATAAGCCTTGCCTGTGAGGGACTTTAGATATAACTTTTACTCCCTCTTAAATGCTTTCATGAGTGATTGGGTACATTAACCGTATCAGAATGCATTACTATATTTTAGTTTGCCATAAACTGTATGAAAAAAAGGAGGGAGGGGGTGCTTGTAACAGGTCCTTTGACTAGAAAACCCAGCAAAGTAAGGACGCCCTAAACACCTCTAGATGGCAGCAGAGACTGTTTATTTTTCTCCAGAGACGTGATTTCTATTCGCAGCACGAACCGGGGCACACGTCAACCCCGAGACATGCGTGCATCGATTCAGTTGCATGCGTGCACGGTTGCACAGAATGAAATATTTACTCGTCTGTGACACACATCTGGAGGAGTGTAGCTGTTATTAGACGCAGCAGGATGCTGCTGTCATCAACTCGAGCCCGGCGAGCTCCCCCTGAGTGTGTGCCAGCAAGTTTAGCATTGACATCCAAAAATAGAACATCAAGATGAACTTGTATCTCACATTCAAGATGTATTTCTACTGAACACGCGGTATCCTAGTCTCCCGGTGGCTGTTGTAATGTGCCCTGTTTACGGCTTCAAAGGATTTGTTCTCTATTTGTTTACAGCACCCATCTGTGTTTATCACACAGAATGTCGCTGTGACCTCCTCATATCTCTTAAGACTACACGCCCTTAATAATGAGAGTTAATT